ATTCTTTGTTTCCAACATTCACATTCCTATCCCCAGTAATTATCAATGCATCTTGATTGCATGCTTGATCAATTTCAGACTTAAGAAGTTGGTGGAATTTTTCAATTTCATCATCACTGGCTTTAGTGGTTGGTGCCTAATTTGAATTAATGTGGTATTAGGAGCTCTGGTAGCGTAGTGGTTACAAATTGAGCTGCTAACCTCAAAGTCCACCTACCAGTTGTCCCACTGTAAAAAAATGAGGCTTTCTGCTCCCGTAAAGATGTGCAGCCTCGGAAACCCTGTGTAGGGTCACTGTGAGTTGGAACCGACGCCACGGTACTTAACAACAACACCACCAACTGGTCTTAGACATATAGGTATTATCCTGTCACAGAAAGCATTGTACTTCAAGACAGATTTTAAAATGTTCTTTTTGATGAAGAAAGTATGTTATTCTTCTTCAAATGGGCTTTCCCGCATAGTAAACCATATGATTGTCTAATTCAAAATGGCCAATACCAGTCCATTTCAGCTCACTAATGCATGGGATGGGAACACAGTGTTTCTGTATGATAAGCACTGGACTATGAACTACAGGTGCAGTGATCCAAACCCACTAGTCAGTCCGTTTGGGAAAAAGATGATGCGTTCTGCTCCTGTAAAGATTTTCAGCCTCAGAAACACTATACAGGGTTGCTGTAAGTCACAACTTAACAACAACAATGCCTAGGGTATCAATCTTTATGCCTTCCATTATATTTTGACAACTTCCAATTTTCCTAGATTTGTACTTCATATATTCCACATTCAGATTGTTAATGGATATTCACACCTGCTTCTTCTCATTCTGAGTTGTACCCATTGAGCAAGTTAAGTTTCTAAAAACTGCTCCATTCATGTCATTATGGTCGATTCTGCTCTGGGGATCTACTCTGAAGCAGCTCTTCCTCAGCCTTAATTCGAGTGCTTTTCCAACCTGAGGGGTTTCCCTTCCAGCATTTGATCTTAACAGTGTTCCACTGCTGTTCATAACATTTTCATCTTCCAACTCTGTATCTGACAATGGTCCACTGCTATTCTTAAAGGTTTTCAGTGGCTAACCATTCAGAAGTGGTCCACCTCTTCTCCTTCCTAGCCTATCTTTGTGTGGAAGCTCTGCCGAAACCTGTCCACTATGGGTGAATCTACTGGTATTTACAATACTGGTGGCATAGCTGCCCACTTCATAGCAACACACAAGCCACCACAGTACAAAACAAACTGACAGACAAGTTGTGATGAATTATTGTTGTTGTTAGGTGCCATCGAGTAGGTACCAACTCATAGTGACCCTATGCACAACAGAATGAAACACTGTTACGTCGTGGGCCAACCTCACAATGGTTGCCACGCTTGAGTCCATTAATGCTGCCATTTTGCCAATCTATCTCGCTGGGGGTCTTCCTCTTTCTCTGACCATCCACCTTATCAAACACGATATCCTTCTCCAGTGACTGGTCCCTCCTGACAATATGTCCGAAGTATGAGAGATGAAGTTTGGCCTCCAAGGAGCACTCTGGCTGCACTTCTTCCAGTACAGATCTGTTTGTTCTTTTGGCAGCCCATGGTACTTTCAGTATTCTCCTCCAACACCATAACTCAAATGCATCAGTTCTTCTACAGTCTTCCTTATTCACTGTCCAGTTTTCACATGCATATGAGGTTATAGTCCTCAAGCTAACATCTTTGCACTTCAACAATTTTAAAAGGTCTTGTACAGCAAATTTACCTAATGCAATACATCGTTTGATTTCTTGACTGCTGCTTCTATGAGTGTTGATGGTTGATCCAAGAAAAATGAAGTCTTCAACTACTTCAATCTTTTCTCCATTGATAAGAATGTTGTTTATTGGTCCAGTGGTAAGGATTTTTATTTTCTTTACATTGAGATGCATCCCATACCGAAAGCTGTGGTCTTTGATCTTAATCAGTAAGTATTTTAAGTCCTCTTCACTTTCAGCAAGGAAGGTTGTATCATCTGCATATTGCAAGTTGTTAATGAGTCTTCCTCCAATCCTGATGCCACGTTTTTCTTCATATAACCCAGCTTCTCGGATTATTTGCTCAGCATACAGGTTGAATAAGTATGGTGAAAGAATATACCAGTCACACACCTTTACTAATTTTAAACTATGCAATGTTTCCATGTTCTCTTTGAACATATGCCTCTTGGTCCATGTACAGGTTCCTCAAGAGCACAATTAAGTGTTCCGGAAGACTCATACTTTGCAATGTTGTCCATAGCTTGTCATGAGCCACACAATTGAAAGCCTTTGCATAGTCAATAAAGCACAGGTTAACATCTTTCTGGTATTCTCTGCGTTCAGCCAAGACAATCAGACATCAGCAGTGATATTCCTCGTTCCACATCCTCTTTTGAATCCAGCTTGAACCTCTGAAAGTTCTCTGTCAATGTATGTTTACAGTCGTTTCTGTATTATCTTTAGTAAAACTTTACTTGCTTGGGATGTCAAAGATATTGTCCAATGATTTCCACATTCTGTTTGAATCACCTCTCTTTGGAATGGGCACAAATCAGATCTTTTCCAATCAGTTGGCCAGATAGCTGTCTTCCCAACTTCTTGGGATAGATGAGTGAGTGTCTCCAGTGCCACTTCACTTTGTTGAAAGATTTCAATTTGTATTCCATCAACTCCCAAGTGCCTTGTTCTTTGCCATTTCCTTCAGTGCACCTTGGACTTCTTCCTTCAGTACCATGGGCTCTTGATCATGTGCTACCTCTTGAAATGGTTGAACATCGACCATTTCCTTTTGGTACAGTGACTCTGTGCATTCCTTCCATCTTCTTCTTTTTTTTTTTTTTTTTAATTAAATGTTTTTATTTTGCATTGAGTGAAAGTTTACAGGGCACATCATCAGCTTCACATTCAACCATTCATATAGCTTGTTTCATTACATTGATTATTATCCCCGCTATATATCATCAGTTTACAGTGTTTCTCTCTATCCTCTTTAGCTTTTTTTTTTTTTTGGAATGGGGGGGGACTTGGCTTATTGGAATTTACAGTCTCGGCTTTTAGGGGAGGTTTTTACATTTGTCTGTGGATATCCAGGGCTCACGTATGAGATTACTAACAAGTATTACTGAATAATCAGATGAGGGACAGTTTGTTATGTCTACTAGGTGGCTAGAGTCTGATCCTCAGAGCCTATGGTTTGGATGGTCAACAACGCTTGGGCCCACAGGGGCTTGGCCTCCTGACCGGGTCTGTGCTGTCTGCATCTGAGTCCTCCTTATTTATTGATTGTTTAAGGGACGCTGCCTGTCTTAGGTGGTCAGTGCGAATTCCTCAGTCTTACCAGTCATTGAGACTCATTGCAGCATGGCAATGTCTCTGTCCCAAGTAGCCGAGGTTCCACGTGATCCTTACCCGTCTCTGGCCACACGTCCAGCATAAACAGCCGCCATCCGGCCTTCCATCTTCTTTTGATGCTTAAGGTATCATTCAATATTTATTCATTTCAAATACCTTTTTTAAACAGCATAAGAGACAACTATACACAGGGCCTTCTCATGAAATACACAGAAATCAAATTGACTACATTTGTGGAAAGAGATGGTGGAAAAGCTCCATATGTCATCAGCAAAAACAAGGCCAGGGACAGATTATGGAACAGACCATCAGTTGTTCATATGCAAATTCAGATTGAAGCTGAAGAAAATGAAGACAAATCTATGAGAGCCAAAATATGACCTTGAATATATCCCACCTGAATTTAGAGATGTTATGAAGAACAGATTTGATAAAGACCAGAAGAGTTGTGGAATGACATCAAGAATAACGTACAGGAAGAAAGCAAAAAGTCATTAAGAAGAAAAGAAGGAAAAAATCAAAATGGATGTCAGAAGAGAACTCTGAAACTTGCTCTCCAGTGTAGAGATGCTAAAGCCAATGGAAGAAATAAGGACGTACAAGAGCTGAACAGAAACTTTCAAAGGTCAGTTGGAGAAGACAAAGTCAAATATTAAAACAAAATGTGCAAAGATCTGGAGTTAGAAAAGCAAAAGGAAAGAACACACAGCATTTCTCAAGCTGAGGGAACTGAAGAAAAAATTCAAGCCTTGGCTTTCGTTATTGAAGGATTCTATGGGATGAATTATAGAGGACCTAAAATATTAAGAATTGTCATAGACTCCAAATTCTGTCATAGACAATGAGAAACTACCGAAAGGTTGTTTTGGAGTAAAGGCCAAGAGTTCGGTGAACCTCTGTTGAGAAGAAAGACCCTAGAGAAGGTATGTGCCATCTCACAAATTCCTATTTCACCAGTTTAAATAGAAGTTGTCAGAAGTACAGCAGAGGAAACTTGTAGAAATGTAATTTCCCGGAATCATGAAGAATCAATCTGATGAAGAAAATTGTTCTCCACATGTCCATTTTCCACTTCATTTCAGAGGAGGCTTTTCTATAAGTGCAAGAGAACCTTACTTGAACTTTGGGATGAATGGAATGATATTCTTCAGAATTCAAGAACCCCTAAAGTGGAGGCTTAGTAGAAGTAATCCAACCTTGGTGTCTGAGTCCACCAAAACCAGGGATAACTAGGCCTACAAAGCAATGGAAGTAAATTGACATCAGGAACCAACTTATAATTAGTAACTTTGAGTTTTGTGTGCAGTTTCAGAGTTTGTTCAAGTGTTTAAAATGAGTTTGTACTTTAGGTGTTTGCTTGCACCCTTAGTCACACTTGGGGATTGTCTAGCTGACAACATGTAGCCTCCAAGCGGTTTTATCTTGCATTGTCTCCTTTATAGCCTACTCTTCTTTGCCTCCACACTACTTCCCTGTTTTCCTCTTTCATTTTCTTTAATTCCCCTCTCTGCCCTTGGGTGCACTAGTGCAGCCAGTCCTTTAGTAACCTGCAGAAGGAACTCTTAGTTGGTTCAAGCAAGCAGTGGTCAATGCATTGCCTTGTAACTTGTAACATTGACAAGTAAGATATTTTGTCTTCCCAAGGCTGGGCTAGCCCTGGAGACCCGTTTGCAGGTAGCACTCGATGTGGTGGAGGGAATCCGCTTCCTGCACAGCCAGGGACTTGTTCACCGTGACATCAAACTGAAGAATGTATTGGTAAGTCGAGCTATTTCCTCAAACCAGTACTCTGCCTCTCTGGGTTAAATGTCCTTTTGGAGGGTACATTTAAATACAGGTTTGGTCATGACCAGAGGGCAAATAGTAGTTTAACAGCACAGTAGACATGACATCCTCTTGAAACTAAAGTTTGAACTCTGTGTTCTTGCACTTAAAGTTGTCTTTTGAGACTGAGGGTGGGCTGGAATTACAATGTTCTTCTACTGGTTTTTACCATAGGTCTAGCTTCTAATGCTAAAGGTCTTGTTTTCTTTTTTTTTTTTCTCCAAGCACTATTCTGAAATATTTTAAACATATAGAAAAGTTACATGCCCTTTATCCTGTCTAGAGGAAAGGGAAATACTTCCAAAATTGTCAGCTAAAACCTAAGAGGCTTATCAATTGCCAAATTGTCATGGACCTTTAGGAAAAGACCTTACAGGGACTTTTCCTCAGGTGACTAGAGGATCTCAGCCTTCTTAGTTATCAGCTTTCTGCCCTGTTGATAATTGGGAGTTGAGCTGCATTTCTCACTGTCCTTCCGTGGACCTCCACTTACTTATCTTTCCAAGATTTATTCAGGTCCTGATATGTACCACACACTATGTTAAGTGTCTGAAATGAAAAAGCCAGTTCCTGCCTTCAGGTTGTTCACAGTATAGGGAGGAAGACGGTAATGGAAAGAATCTAGAGACAGGAAGGTTGGAAGTCAGATTTGTTAAGTACCTACTTTTGGAGTTTGATTTTTATACTGAGTGCTGTGTGGCAGGATCAGAGACAGAGTGACTCTTGCCTTGCTTTGTTGGCAGCTAGACAAGCAGAACCATGCCAAGATAACTGACTTAGGATTCTGCAAGCCGGAGGCTATGATGTCAGGCAGCATTGTGGGCACCCCAATCCATATGGCCCCTGAGCTTTTCACAGGTAAGACTAGAGATGCAGAAAGTGGGTTTGGACAGGACTTGGTACTTTAACCCTATATTCCAAAAGAGGGGTGTGCTACCCTATCCTATGCATGGACAGCAACCAGAAAGTCACATCTATGCCTCAGGGCTCAGGGATATTATGGCCTCCCTAGGTGGCCATGAAAGGAGTCCTGGTGTGTATTGGGTTACACACTGGGCTGCTAACTGCAAGGTCAGCAATTCAAACCCACCAGCCACTCTGCAGGAGAAAGTTGAGGCTTTCTGCTACCACAGATACATAGCTTTGGAAACAATAGGGAGTAGTTCTTCTCTTCCTGTAGGGTTGTTAGGAGTCAGAATTGACTCAGTGGCAGTGTGTGGTGGATGTTTGGAGTTGTCCATGATAGATTACCTCATGCCATGTGATGCTTAGTCAGCATCAGGTGTCCCTCTTTGGACAGCACCACTCATTCACATCACGAATTGAGAATAAAGACCCACTCGCTTTTTGCAAGGTGATTCCACACCTTGCATCATCATATTGCTTTCAGAATAATCTTTCTAAAACATCTTCATGTCACCTCCTGCGCTAAAACATAAATGACTTCCCATTGCCCACTAAATTCAGACTCCTGTGTCCAACTTGGAAATTTTTATGCTGGTTCCAACCCACCCACCCACGCACTTACCTTTATTTCCCAATTTTATATCCCTAATATGATCGTTTCTACTGCTCTTCTGTCAGTTTGTGGCTTCTGTGTTGCTGTGATGGTGGAAGCTATGCCACCAGTATTGAAAATAACAGCACAAAGTGTATGATTTGTTGAATGTAAAATGAATGTTCTGTCCTCAAGTCACAATAAAAAAAAACAAAACAAAACATAAAATAACAGTAGGATCAGCCATAGTGGACAGGTTTCAACAGAACTTCCAGACTAAGACGGACTAGGAAGGAGGAGAGGTGGACCACTTCTGACGATGAAGGGGAATACACAGAGTCACTGTAACCAAAAAGAACTTGTGGTTGTTGAACCATTTCAGAGATACCATGTAGCCCAGAGCAGATGGCATTAAAGGAAGAAATCCAAGCTGTGCTGAAGACACCAAAGCTCCAGGCATTAACAGAATACAAATGGAAATGTTCCAACAAATGATGCAGCACTGGAGGAGCTCACTTATCTGTTCCGAGAAATTAGGAAGACAGCTACCTGGCCAAGCAATTGAAAGAGATCCAATTTTGTGCCCATTCCAAAGGAAGGTGACCCAACTGAATGCAGAAATCTGAACGATATCACTAATATCACATGCAAGTAAAATTTTGCAAAGATAGTTCAAAAGCAGTTGCAATAGTATATAGACAAGGAGCTGCCAGAAATTCAAGATGGATTCAGAAGAGGACGTGGAACTATAGATATCATTGCTGACGTCAGATAGATCTTGACTGAAAGCAGAGAATACCAGAAAGATGTTTACTTGTACTTTATTGACTATGCAAAGGCATTTGACTGTGTGGATTATAACAAACTATGGATAAGATTGCAAAGAATGGAAATTCCAGAACATCTCATTGCAGTACAGACCAAGAGGCAGTCATTGGAACAGAACAAGGGAATATTGAATGGTTTAAAATCAGGAAAGGTGTACACCAGAGTTGTATACTTTCATCTTATTTAGTCTGTGTGCTGAACAAATAATGTGAGACGCGTATTTCAAGAAGAACTTGGTATTGGGATTGGAGGAAGAGTCATTAACAATCTGCAATATGTAGATGATACAACCTTGCCTGCTGGAAGCGAAGATCAAAGACTATGCTGTAGCTTTCAGTATGGATTATACCTAAATATAGAGAAAACAAAAGTCGGGTCAGTAAATACCATCATGATAAACAGAAAAGATTGACGTTATCAAAGATTTAATTTTGCTTAGATTCACAATCCTCATAGAAGCAGCAGTTAAGAAATCAAATGACATACTGTATTAGGCAAATCTACTGCAAAGGCCTTTTTAAAGTCTTAAAGAGCAAAGATATCAGCTTGAAGACTTAAGGTTGGCCTGACCCATGCCATGGTATTTTCAGTAGCCTCTTATGCATGTGCAAGTTGGACAAAATGCATAAAGAAGGCCAGAGAAGAACCAACAGATGCATTTGAATTATGGTGCTGAAAAAGATATTGAAAGCTACGTGGACTGCCAGAAGAACAAACCACTCTGTCTTGGAAGAAGTACAGCCAGAGTGCTCCTTTGAATCAAAGATGGCAAGACTTTGCCTTTTGTATTTTCGACATATTGTCAGGAGGGACCAGCCACTGGAGAAGGACATCATGCTTGGTAAAATGGAGAGTCAGCCAAAAAACCGACGACCCTGAACAAGATGATTTGACACAGTGACAGCAACAATAGGTCATACTACCAATTGTGAGGATGGCTAAGGACTCGGCAATGTTTTATTGTTTTGCATAGGATCGCTGAGTTGGAATCCACTCACAAGCACTTAACATCAGCAATGTAACCTTACCAGGGGTTTTTTGTTTGTCCTTTTTGACTGTACCATAAAATAAAAAGACCTTGTTTTCCTTCTCTTTGTCAAGTAATAGTCAATAGCTAGTTCTTGTCAGTCTGTATAACCTTGATCTCCCAATACCAGAGTTTTTTTGTTCTATATGAAGAGGCTTCAAAACATTTTTGAAAAATGGGATGAAAAGATAATGGACTTTTTCAGTGAACATTTTGAAGCCCCCTCATAAAGTAGAAATTAGAAATGTGTCCTGCCTATATGGCAGGGTTATTGTGAGAGATAAGGGATGTTAGGAGCTTTAGACAAAATGTATGGAGACCTTGGCGGGAGCAAGGTGGCAGTGCTGACGTTGTCTTCCTCTCTCTCTCACTCACTACTTTTCATTCCTTCTTGCTGTAGGAAAGTATGACAATTCTGTAGACGTCTACGCTTTTGGGATTCTTTTCTGGTATATCTGCTCAGGCTCTGTCAGGCTCCCTGAGGCATTTGAAAGGTGTGCCAGCAAAGACCACCTCTGGAACAACGTGCGGAGAGGTAAGCAGTGCAGTCCAACTCGTCCTGACTTCCTCCCTGAGGGCAGTGAGATGGGACACTGCAGCAGTGTCCCCTCCCCAACCACTCCCCCGCAGCAGCATGATTTTTACAGTGGAGGCCAAAGCTTATTGTATTCTTTAGCTTTCTGAGCCTGGGTTGGACACTCATAAGCTGTCAGCTAGTCAGGCCTCTTCCTTGTGTTCGTCTCCCTCTTTCTAAGTCTAATCTTATCTCCGTGCCTCTTCCTCTAGGAGCCCGCCCAGAACGGCTTCCTGTGTTTGATGAGGAGTGCTGGCAATTGATGGAAGCCTGTTGGGATGGTGACCCTTCTCAGAGGCCTCTTTTGGGCATCGTCCAGCCCATGCTCCAGGGCATCATGGACCGGCTATGCAAGTCAGACTCTGAGCGGCCTAACCGAGGGTTAGATGATTCCACTTGAAAACAAGCAAGAGACCTTTCTCTCTTCTCCGTTTCTTCCCTTTCCCTCTACCTACTGGCCTTGGGAAGAAGTTGACATTTATTTAGTACAGGGAGCTCTCAAGAGAATTGGTGCTTGCTGGGCAACTTGAGATCCTCCCAAGCAAAGATTACTCTTGTATAGGGAAGCATTAGATGGCTGGGCATATTTGCCATGTCCCAAACTGTTCCTTTAGCTAAAAAAATTTTTAGGTCATGAAAAGTTGTTTAGAAGCTGAAAATTGGTCATTGGACAGGTATACAAGATAAGATGCTCTGGCCTTGTAATCGATAAGGAGGCAAGTCTTAACTGTCATCAGCTCACTGTGTGTGTTTTTTCAAGATACCAGGTGAACACCGCAAGGCAGTAGTACTGTGATCTCTTCGTCATGACTTGCGCATTGTGGCTCCATTCAGTGGTCAGAACCTTTAGCTCATTTGAGCTTAATTCTGTGTCTGTGAGAACATAGACACAAGAGAAATAAGTGGGTGCCTGGCTCCTGCTGTCTGGCTGTCAATGGAAGCCCCAGTGAGGAGGCTAAAAACAAAATTTCTGCCCCTTACAGTACCAGTGTTTACATTTGTAGGACTACATAGCCCAGATTCTGGAAGAGGGTTTTACTGTTACATCACCCAGAAGCAAAGAAAAAAAAAAGAGAGAGAAAGTATATGTATGTAAGTGATTGGATTTTGAGTTAATGTTAAATCCAGAACAGAATCTGCCCCTCTATTCCTTAGATCATTTGTTTTTGTCTTTAGTCTCAAGATGGGGAAGCTCCATGTACCATGGTACTTTGTGTTGAGTGTCTGAGCAAAACTGATTTGCTGTGAAGCGTCTGGTGAGACCTGTAAAGGGGAAGATCTGGAGACCCTGGGCCCCATACACACCCACTAGAACACGCTGGAGAACATTATTCTGCCTTTTGTGTTTGAATTGAACACATTGACATTTTAAAAACTTTGTCAGTAAGCTTTTTAACCAAGGTTTCTTCTGCAGTTTTTCCCCTCTTCCCCCTTTTTTAACTTTATATAATCTGTTAGAAGGAAAAAGATTAAGATGAAAGGGAAGAACAGTGTAATAGTTCTGTGAGTGTACCTTCACCCCCCGTGTTATTGGCATCTGGGAAGGTTCTCTTCCCTTTGCAGTTGAGATGGGGAAAGATGGTCCTTTTCCCGTCTCATGAGTTTGTCATGAACTATCATTGAGAGAAACTCTTAATTCCTTTATAGAAAAGGGCATAATTTGAGCATCAGTGCATCTCTGATCTTGACTTCAAGCCTTCTTCAACCAAACTGGGCCATTAGATGTAGACAAACAGGTAGACAGAGGAGTAGACAGTATATAGTAGCCTCTTTTCTATCTGCCTAGTCCCCAAGAACTGTGATCTGGCCCCTGTACCCAGTCCCATAGTGTGGGAAATAGGTCCTTGGACAGGTATACAAAATAAGAGACACATTTGTTGGGATTCTCCTGACTTGTGCCAGAATGGCTGTCTCTTGAATATAAACAGTTTCAGTGGAGTCTGTAAGACATTTTCCTTATCTTTAAAACTCAGTTTAACTCTTTGGCTGTCCTGGACTCTAATTATGAAATGTTAGCATGTAGCAGCCCCCTAAGCATTTGAGGCCTTCAGAATCTGCATGGGGAGAAAATGTTTCCCTTGCAAACGATGGTGACAGTGATGGTCTCTGAGCTCTGTAGGCTGGAGCCTTGTTTAGTGGAGTGTTTAGAATGTGTTTTAGAACTGTAACACCTCCTTGCTGTCCTTTAGGGTGAGCCCTGGTGGCACAGTGGCTTAGCGCTCAGCTGCTCACGCTACGATCAGTAGTTTGAACCCACCAGCCACTCCACTGATGGAAGATGTGGCGGGGTCACTGTGAGTCAGAATCGACTGGACAGCTAGCTGTATTTCAGCATTCTTTGCCCTTCTAGGACAATGATGGGACTTCTAGGAAGCCAGCTTTCAGGTTAGGAAAGAAGAGGTGAGTAGTCTCTATGTGTGAAAAATAATAACAGAGGAAAATCAAAATAAGTCTGTTCTGTTTGAAATTTCAAGAGAAAACAAGAATTCCCATTTGAGAGCGTGTATTAGTTTTTCTGTGTTAGTTTTTCCCAGTGTGGAGTCACATCTCTTAACATTCTCTGGAAGTCTCTACTCCTACCTCCATCAACACTTGGGAGTTTAGGTTTTCCCCCATCTCAGAGTCCCATTTCAGTTGATTCCCTATGGCTTAGTCTGCTCTCACATCCCAATTTTCTAGCAGATTTCCCAACATTTTTTTGCCCAGGGTGAGGGAGGAAGGGAAGGGTTAATGCTAAGTAAGAAAAGTGGTTGTGTTACAATTCATTTAAAACAAAGTATTCTGAGAAAAGGTGCAAATTCTTCCTGAAAAGTTTCCAGGCCGGCTAAAGTCCACACAGGGATTATTTGGGGGTGTTATTTAAACACTCAGCAGGCTGAGTGCAAGAATACAGATGTGTTATGTATATATATTTGCTTTTGTTTTGTAGCATTATCAGCTAAATGTGGACTCTTTGTTCCTTGGCACTCATCATTACTAAAGTGAGGGAATGCCATGAAATGTACTGTATTGTATATTACTTGGGAAGACACTAGCTTATTCTTAAAAGTCTGATAGCACTTGGGCTGTGGAGGACTCAACATAGTCCTGAAGAGTTCAGCTACTCGCTGTGTTGGTGCAGGTTGCCGTGGGGAGGAAGACGGATGGCATGACAAAACTTCCCTTACTGTGTGCCATCCTGCTCATCACCTGATGAGGGTCATTCACCCCAGCCAGAAAAGGGCTGCCTGGCCATTTGTAATGCCCTTGTAGACTGGTTACCCATTTTGCTTCAGAAGCGATGTTGGTGGCAGCTGGGAGCATCTTAACACTGGACCCTGTGCCTAGATCGCTGGCTGCAAGGTCAGCCTGGCTGGACTGAGGAGTGCTCAGTGTGGCTGAGGTTTCCATAGCCCGGTCCTGGTTCCCTTGTTCCTTCACAGAGAATGGGTCAATGATTGAGCAAGCCTTTCATTTCTCTGAGGGAGAGGACTGTGCTGGTTGTTCCCACACCAAAGAGAGTCACTTTGACTCCATCAGCTTCAAGGGGACAGAGTCCAAGCAGCAGCTTCTCTTTTTTTAAACACTAACATTGAAGGACACATGACGAAAGGCTACATCACTACCAGGGATAGAAATCAGGCAGTGGCAGAACTCTCCGCCAGGTACCAATAGCTGGTATAATTAGAACTTGATTTTCCTGGTGGGGGAAGTGGTTTGGGGTAGCAGAGCTATAATGGAATGGAATCACTGCACTGAGTGACACTTTATATTTTGGCTTGTTATTTAGCACCGAGAAGCTGAGAAGTTGGTGAGTACAGTAGCACTTAGGGGAGGAGGGGAGCCCTTTTGGCCAGACTTTGGAGGGATAGCATGCTTGGTATTCCTTTTGGCTAATCATGGAAAGGAGTCCTGGTATGGCTCTGTAGGATAAGCACTGGACTACTAACTAACAAGGTTGGCAGTTCAAACCCACCAGCCACTCCTCGTAAACTCTCCTCAAGGTTTCTATGCATCAGAACCAACTCAAAGGCACTTAAACAACAACAATAATCATGGAAATGTCCAAGTCCATATTGCATCTGAGTAGGATTAACAGCCCTGGGAGAGTCCATTACCAAAAGAGTATTGTGAGTTTTCAAAAATTGAGTTTTTTAATATGCTGAATTAAATAGTCCAACTTTTATCTTAAATGGAAAAAAGGCTTGAGAAGCTTATGTACTATAGGCTCCTTGTGGTGGCTTCAAGTACTCCTACTGTTCTTAAAGGGTTTTATTGTTAACTTACAGCCTAAATGAGGGGATGGTGGAGACGTGGGCCACCTGGCATGGGGGAGGTCACTTTGTCCAGAGGGCTGAAAGGAAATTGGTCTGGACAGCTTATTGTCATTTGTCTTAATGTGATGGATGTGTGTTTTAAAGGACTAATTTTTATTACAGTGTTAAATAAAAATGTAACAAACTTAAGTGTGTAGACTAAAAGTGCAATAACAAAAGAAATTTGGGGTCAAACTTTAGTCCTTATATTCTCCCATCTTAAACCACCTGGCGCTTTTCTTACTCTTGTTACAGCAGGACCATGTTAAATGTATTTTTAAGAGACACGACTATGGGTTAAGTCTTCACTTAGTGTAATTTTGAATGATTGGGTTTGGTTTTATAGACTCTCCAGTATACTTGTTGGAATGCACAGATGCCAGATGTGCTGTGTAATAAAGATCACATTAACATCTATGTTTACTTGTTTGGCTTTCCTTTCCCCCCACCTCACTACTTGTGTTGACAGGACACTCCTGCCTGTTTCATTCCATTTCCACTGTGACCTCTGCAGTCAGATGTCTTTTTAATTTGCGTTAGGAGCTACTGATGAAACTTCGTACATCTCCATAAAGGACCTTCCCAGCCAGGTACTCTGGATACTTTATATTAACATTACTATAGATAAATAGGGCAGAGGGATGGGGGAGGTAGGTTAGCAGAGGAGGCAAAGGGCTAGAGAGAGCAAGCAATTTGCTTAACTTGGGCTAATGCACCAGACTCCAAAGCCATTTGAGCTGCAAGGTCAGCTGTTCAAGCTCACCCGCTGCTCCTTGGAAACTCCACAGGGCCACTATGGGTCAACTGACTTGATGGCACTTAACAACCACCAGTGACTCTAAGGAACAAAGACCTGGAGATCTGCATCCATGAAGATTACAGCCAAGGAAACCATATGGAGCTCATTTCTACTCTGTAATACATGGGGTTATCATGACTCAAATAATACAGTGGGTCTGGGGGGATGTTTTGTTTTGTTTGGGGTGCTTACCCATTGTCCAGCTTCTTTTCAGCACAAATGTACAGCATTCTAAGTGAGAATGTAATCTACCAGCCTGTCTGCATTTAGTTAGTTGAATTTTCTGTTGAGAATCACCCCACTCTCAGATTTGCATGCTCAGAAAGGCCTGACAGGCACCGTCAAGGGCCACTGCCAGGAGGTCATACCCACCACACACCAGTTGACACTGGGTCTACCACCACTCATAGTGGCCCCGTGTGTGTCAGAGGAGAGTTGTTTGCATGGGGTCTTCAGCGGCTGATTTTTCTTACATCTCCAGGCTTTTCTTTCAACATGCTCCTGGAAGGACTCAAATCACCAACCTTTTAGTTTAGCAGCCAAGCATGCTAATCGGTTACACTATGCAGG